TAAAAGATATTCTAAAAGGTGTTTTTACAGGTAAAGCTGCATTTTCTTTTATAATATGGTTCTGGTAGTTTGCTTCTATGAAACAATGCTGTTTAAATCCACATGATGACACGTATGTGGCTATCAAGGAGTTTCCACAGTTATGATACAATTAAGTAATGTTACTAGAACAAAAGAGGATAACATTTACACCTTGTTATTCTTAAGACTTGAGACTCATTTGTCACATGTTTCAGCTGAATTATGAGTAAGGCTCTTAGGTCAAAGAACTGAGCATTTAAACTGGAAAAGATAGTCTGTCAATATTATTAGCTTTAACAGTCTATTCCTTGATGCTTACTTTTGCAATACACAATGGAATATGTTAGAAAAAAGAAAACACAAGTTTTAATTAGAAGTTAATTTTAGGAAAATTAACTTTAACTATATTTTACTTTGTTGAATTTAATAATAATTGAAGTTAAGTGCTTTGTCTAACAGTAGGTTCTATACATCTAAAAGTGTTAGGCGTGCCTGGGTGGTTCAGTCAGTTAAGCATCTAACCCTTGACTTCAACTCAGGTCATGATCTCATGGTTCATGAGATTGAGCCCTCTGCCAGGCTTTGGAGACTGCTTAGGATTCTCTCTCCTTCTCTCTCTCTGCTCCTCCCCAGCTTGTGCATGTGCTCTCTCTGTCTCTCAAAATAAATAAATAAACATAAAAAATGATTAAAATGTTATATAGCTATTACACTTTACCATTATTTATTACATAAATAATTGTTATGTTGGTAGATTTTATTAATTTGAATGGAGAATGGTTTTTATTATATTGTTCTGTCAACCATGAATGTATTGTTCAGTAAAAGCCATGTAGATACTACTATTTGTTGGTATATTTTCCCATTTAAAACTAACATTAAAAAGAGTTTTACTGATATATAATTCACATACCACATTATTCACCCATTTAAAGTGTAAAATTCAATGGTTTCCAGTATATATTCACAGATACATTCAACCACTATCATAGTCAATTTTAGAACATTTTCATCACTTTAAGAAGAAACCCACATACTTCAGCATTGCTACCATATTCTTCTTTACCCCCAGCCCAAAGCAAACATGAATCTACTTTGTCTCTATAGATTTACCTATTCTGGGTATTTCATATATATGGAGTCACAAAATATGTGGTCTTTTCTAACTTGCTTCTTTCACTAAATATGTTTTTAAGTTGCACCCATGTTGTAACACATATCAATACTCATTATTTTTTATGGTTTAATAATATTCCATTGTATGTATATACCACAATTTATACTTTCAACAACTAATGGACATTTAGGTTATTTCTACCTTTTGCTTATTATTAGTAATGCTGCTATGAACAATACTGCCTTAATATTTACTATGCACTTGTACAAAGCCTTATGTAAGACAGAGGCAAGTACTTAGGCTTTCTCATTTCTTACCTGAGTATTCACAAAGCTCTATGAATGTATGTGTCCTCCAGATTCCCAGGAAGATGTCATAGCCTTTTGAAACTTTTATGGACATCTCATTTCCCAGTTTTCCTTTTAGGCTATTTGGTTAACATACTGTTTGACCTTAACTGGAATCTATCACTTCAGGCAGCTTGAAGTTAAAACACTTGCCTGTAATTGTTTTGACAATCCCATACCCACCAAACCTGCTAAGAAGGCTGCTCACAATGACTGGGATCAGAGACAGCTTTTCAACTGGGGTCTTCCAGGAAAGCATCAGACAGGTCAAATGATGACAACTATTTGGGAATCAGGCTTTGCAGGGGCTCTAGTTCCATTCCGTTTCTTCTGGTAGTTGCCAGGCTGCATGGGGGACATGAACCATCTTTATTCCCAGGATACTGCTGAGCTAGGATAGTAGGGAATGGGACCAAGGCAAATTAAAATGCCACACAGTGTCCTGTTCTTATTTAGATTCAGCTGTTTTTCTTGAAGAACACTCCCTAGACTGTTGCAAGTCTTTGGTTAATTTCCAGAATTTCCTAGAGGAATTATAAGTGTTCCTCAATGTACATAGAAAGTCTCAAAAAATGCTTTGTAGTTTTCATGTAATATGCTTTTATTTGATCTCCAAGGAACATATGGCTTAGAAAATGATGAGGGAGCATGAGGTAGGCTGAGGGGTAAAGCACAAGCTAGCACCTCCTCCCCACCCCACCACCCCAGGTGGGATCTGAGTGCTATTCCTTGGACACTCCTGGCTGCCCAAGAACAAAGGAAAGGGGTTTAAGTACTTGCCATGGTGATGTGGGAAACTAAGGCAAATGAAAAATTAAATTCCCTTACTGCCTACAGCCCATTGACAAGGCCTTGAACCGGGCAGAGTGACCGTCCTCCAGGAGCTCAGCTGTCTCGATGATGACAGTTTGCCAGGGACAAAAGAGAACCTTAGCTTAACATTATCCCAACCTCGAGGACCTTGTAAGTCAACTTCCGTTATCTCAACTCCCCCAAGATATATGCTGGCAATCATATTCCAAGCTTATGGCCCCCAGATATGCATCTAAAGGGTCTCATGACTGAGGTTTTATTAAATGGTAATAAGTGGCATTTTCCTAGAAAAGCTAGCCCCTGAAGGTCCTGGAAACCTTGCTCCCAAAATTCCTTAGAGACTTACCCTATCCTTGACCCCCTCCCAACCTGAGGATATATAATGAGTTACTGTCACAACCCCATGCAGTTCTTCCTGCCCGTGGGTCCTGTCCCCATGCTTTAGTAAAATCACCTTTTTGCATCAAAGATGTCTTCAAGAACTCTTTCTTGCTTGTTGGCTCCAGACCACCACACCATCACCCCAAAACTTCATCACAAAATTTGTGACTCCCTTGATCCATCAAGTGTCTTAGAATTATTACATGGATCCTTACTTAGAAGATTAGGTTCTGCACAAAGTGCTATGAAGATGTTGATTCCCAATAATGTTTGCTTGTTTTTAAATTTCTTTTATGGAGGAATAATCATCAAAACCTTTATGCTAATAGTGATACATGTTACAACGTGGATGAATGTTTAAAACATTATGAGAAGCAAAAGATGCCAGACACCAAAAGCCACATATTCTAAGATTCCATCTGTATGAAATGTCTGGATAGGCAAATCTTGAAGGGAAGCAGATTCTGCCATCCCAAGATATGTCTCTTTGGCATAAGGATTGTTTTGAGCTAAAGGCAACCAAAACCCAGCAGATTCAAGAAAAACTCTTTATCCATTCCTTTCAATTGCCTAAATTTACACTGGAAAGCAAGTCTTACCAGGAAGAGAGATATTATCAGAAATACTTTTTTACCTAAGAAATTTATCTACATAACAAAACAACCTTTGTTTTCCAAACATCTCCTCTAGACTTCCTGTGAAAGTCCTCCCTCCCTTTGTATCCCACACCTCCACCCCTTTCCTTAGCTCAGGATGTTATATAAACTTCAATTATCTAGCTGCCTTTTGGGTCTCATTTTTTATGGGGCTTGCATACACATGAAATTAAATTTTTTTTCTTCTATTAATCTGTTTTATGACAATTTAATTATTAGACAAGCCAAAGAACCTAGAAGGGAAGAAGGAAAATTTTTTCTGCCCATACAATTATATAGACAGAGTATAGATTAGTAGTTGCAGAGAGCTAGCAGAGATGGGGGAAGGATGATGGATAAAAGGTACAGGGTACCTTTATGAAGTTAGGAAAATGTTCTAAAATTGATTTTGGTAATAGTTGCACAATTTTGTCTATATTGTAACAACCATTGAATTAAATAAGAGAATTTTATGGTATGTGAAATATATGTCATTAAAGTTATTACAAAAAAAAATTAATAGTGGGTGATTTAAATACTTCACTCTCCATAACTGACAGACCTAGACAGAAAATCAGCAAGAATATCGAAGAGTTGAACATCATTATTAACCAACTAGACTCAATAGATATATAGAGAACACTCAATCCAACAACAGCAGAATACACATTGTTTTCAAGTGCACATGGAATATTCTGCCATATCTACTATTTGTTAGGCCAGAAAATAAGTCTTAATAAATTTTTAAAATCCAGATGGTAGAAAGTAACTCTCAGTGTAAGTTTGGAACATGGGTCAGATCTGGTTTATTAGGCTACTTTGGGAATGAAGCCAGAGACAGTTCTTATTAGTATAACTACTATAATATTAATCCTTTATAATTAAAACATTTACTAAGTATTGCTTGAATCAAAGCACTAGATATTAGAAGTAGAAAATTTAAGCATAATTTAAAATTATGTCTGAGTGATTTAAAAATTACTTTCTAGGGGCGCCTGGGTGGCTCAGTCGGTTAAGCAGCCGACTTCGGCTCAGGTCATGATTTCACGGTCCATGATTTCGAGCCCTGCATGGGGCTCTGTGCTGACAGCTCAGAGCCTGGAGCCTGTTTCAGATTCTGTGTCTCCCTCTCTCTGACCCTCCCCCGTTCATGCTCTGTCTCTCTCTGTCTCAAAAATATAAACGTTAAAAAAATAAATAAATAAAAATAAAAATTACTTTCTACATTGATGAATTCTGACAAATTTTCAACAAAACATTTTTTATACAAGCAAATACCTTTAAGAACGGAGACTTAAGGAATAATCTTTTCCTTTCCATGTGCTTTAAGATTAAATTATGATAACCAGCAGTAATTTATAATGTGTCTACAAATTATTGCAGAAAACTCAATTCAAAAAGCATAGGTAAATTGTAAGAACACATTAAAATAGATATTTATGTTAAATTCTTCACATTTTATACTAGTATTTGTAAAGAGGAACTGAGGCAATTACTATTTAATAATTTGATTTATAATGATAAATTCTAAGTTTTAGACATGGGCAAATTAAGTGAGATAAATGCATTAATGAAGCCTGTCCTTAAAATGTTATAACACAACAATGAACAGGAACAACACATGTAAAACAAAATATCCACCTTGATAATATAGTCTATTATAATTGATTTTTAAGGTTCCTTTACCTTTATTGTCTGTCTGCTTGTCTGATATCGTTGATCAGATACTTGTTGCTGCTGAAGGAGTTTTTCATTTATTTCTTTATATTCTTTTACAGACAATTCCGCTGTTTTTTTGGCATTATGAAGTATGCTGTTTTGTTGTTGTAAAGATACAATACGTTCTCGTAATAAAATAATATTGCTATTTGACTTCTGGGAAGTTATATTTTTCCACTTTTCTCTGTTAACTATACAAAAAGAATGTTCATAATATTTTTAAAAATACATTAAATTAAAAAGACATTGTTAATTTCATATATATTCTTACCTCTGGTAGGAACTGTTGTATGAGAACTCTTTTGTACATTACCATTCTTCTTTTGAAAAGTTTGCTTTCTGGCATTCTTGCAATGAAAATAATCCTAAATTTGAAAGTTTATTAAAAATTACATTATTACTCAATAACAACTTCAAGTGAATGAACATAGTAAATAATATTTCTTTACCTAAAAATATATTTATTAAAAATATATATATATTTATGCAAACTCAAAAAAATCTAAACAAATTCTATAATTGATACCAAGAACTTATAAATGAACATAAATGTGCATTAAAGTTGACTTATCAACTAGCAGGCAGAAGATACAAATACAATCAACCCTGAATTAGTAGGAATTTAACCTGTGGACAGTTTTAAAATCCAGGAGTAAATACAGTAAAAACAACAAAAATAAAATAAGAATAATTTAATATCTTATTCTCTGGGAACCTAGGTCCTTTTGTCAAATACTGTTATCTGTTGCATGGAGACTGATTAATCCCTTCTGACAAATAAAGCTGACAAATGCTGATGGTAATAAAGTAACTTTCCTTTAAATTGTATGTTTTCCTCAGGACATTCTAAAATGAAGACATGACTTTTGTTCCAAAATATTTCACCAATTTTAAAAAGGATTGGAGGCAGGGGAGAGGGTAGGAGAAATGAGGAAAGGGAGTCAAAGGTAAAAGAAAAAAATTAATTTACTTGTCACAGTCAGCATTCCATTCTGGGATATGGATAGAGTTTTATAGCCCATTTACACAAGGATTTATTGAATATTAGGACTCCTAGAAACCATCTAATGCTTTATATATTTTTAGTATTTTTCACTATATGTGTATATGTAAAGCTCTGTATACCATTATTCAAAATGATATGTGTTCTCTGGGGAAAAAAATATCCATAAATGAAGGAAAAGAAAATAAGTGACCAGAAAGCCTATTGCCTGGAAATAACCATGGTCAAAATTTTAGGATATTTTCATCTAGGTTATTCTGGAGAATGAACAAAAATGGCATTATACTATTCATATTATATTGAGTCTGCTTTTTACCTTTACTATACCAGAAACATAAGATAGCGTTTTGATATTTTGAAACACAAATTAAAAAAAAAAATTTTCTTATCATTGCCCCAGGAATTTCAGATTTGTAATTAGAGATGCCAGCAGATTAAAAAAATTTTAAAACGCTTCTCCAAAGCAAAAATTTAAATAGGAACATGTTTCTAAAGTATTATAAATCATACTACTAAAATATGTGGTCATATCGAAGAATTTATTGGCTGGGAAACAGGTACATTACTAATCTAGAAAATTCTTTTTAAAAAGGATTTTTTTTTCAGAGATCCCAATTCCAGAAAAAATAATTATAATAAAAATGGTAGAAAAAAATAAATTTTATCCAGTGTTACTTTGGCAATGAGCCAAATATTTTATCTAAGATAGGGTTGTCCTTTAAACCAATTACTTTTCCTTTGAACTTGTTTCATTCTCAAAATGTTTGTTTTTGAAATGCCTCATTTGAACTTTTTTAGAACCAGTATATCAGATATATATTTTTTTAAATGTTTCATTGCTATATTAGGCCTTAAGAGCCAGTCATGACACTATAAAAATGTCCCAGACAGAACTACCAAATTACCAGTATTCGTCACCAGACCTGATATCAAGTTAACTGGATCTAAATTAAAAAGAACCATTTCCAGTATTATTATTTACTAAAATTTCAGAAAAAATTTTAAAAATTTTAAACTTTGAAATCAGCACACTTAAAGTGTCTTTTTAATATGGAAAAATGTTAAAGGAAACTCAAGGAACTCAAGATGAGAAATTTGAAGAAGCAAACCTAGGATATAGTATGTATCAATAATTTGCATCTTTTTTTTTTTTTTTTTTTTTTTTTTTTTTTTTTTTTTTTGCTGAGTAGTATTACATGGAATGGATGTATCACAATTTACCATTCAACTATGGAAGAAAATTTTGGTTGTTGTCAGTTTTTCAGGTATTAGAAATAAAGTTGTTATGACCATTCATATATAGGATTTTGGGGGTAAACGCAGATTTTCATCTCTCTGGGATAAGTGTCCAAGAGAGAAATAGTTGGGTTGTATGATGTGTATGATTTGTTCTTTTCTTTTTTTTTCTTTTAAAGAAACTGCCAGTTGTTTCTCAGAGTGGGGTACCACTTTATATTATTATATGTGAGATCCAGTTTCTCTGCATCCTTGCCAGCATTCTGTTGTTTCCCAACAAAATATTTATATATTCAAAGTATGAGTCATTTGTCACATATATGGTTTGTAATACTTCCTTCCAGTCTATAGCATGTCTTTTTATCCTCTGAAGAGGTCCTTTCATGGAGCAAAATTTCTTAATTTTAATGATGTCTAACTTATTGATAATTTCTTTTAGGGATCATGCTTTTGATATCATCTCTAAAAATTATTCAGCAAGCCCTAAGTTCTGAAGATTTTTCCTTATGTTTCCCTCTAGAATTTTTATGATTTAATGTTATACACTTATATCTGTGATCCATTGCAAGCTAATTTTTGCACAAGGTGTGAGGTTCAGATATAGGTTCATTTTCTTGTCTAGGGATATCCAATTAATTACTCCAGCATTATTTATTGAAAAGACCATCCTTCCTCTATTGAATTGCTTTTGCCTCTCTGTCAAAAATCAGTTGTTTATACTTGTGAATTCATTCTAGATTCTGTATTCCATTATGTAAAAAATAAACCTTTCTTCCTCTCATGGTGGGCGTTTGTTGTAATCAGTCTTGACATGACACTGAGTGGTAGGAATTGATGTCACAATCTTCACAAAACAGTTATTTCTTATTAAAATTTCATTTGGTTCTTTTTTTATATCTTCTATTTCTTTGCTGAGACTTTCCATTGCATTCTTGAGATGTTCTATTTTTTCATTTGTTTCAAGTCTGTTTGTGACAGTTTGTTGAAGCATTTTTATGATGTCTTCTTTAAAATGCTTGTCATGTAGTTCCAACATCTGTGTCATCCTGTTATTGGCTTCTGTTGATTGCCTTTTCATTCAAGTTGAGGTTTTTCTGATTTCTTGGTATAATGAGTAATTTTCCATTGTATCCTGGACATTTTGCCGATTTTATTTTAACACTCTGGATCTTATTTATTTCTTCTAGCAGGCCTCCTCTTATACCATATTGCTGGAGCAAGGGAGCACCACCTCATTACTTCCAACTGGGAATGGGAAGTCCCCACCAAAGAGGTTGGGGAGGAGCACCTCATTACTGCTTGGTGGAGGTGAAAGTTCAAATTCCCCAAAGGTTGATGCCATCCTGCCTGGGAGATGGAGCATGGACTTGTTTCTGCTCCTCACTTAGAGTCCAATGACAAAGTGGGGAGTGGGGAGTGAGAGGCTTTATAGATACAGGAGGTGTGACAGTCCCCATCTCTGCCCTTGGCCTTTGAAATCACCCTGCAAGGAATGGAGAGGGTCATCTTTTCACTGATGGATGAACTCAGATGTCTAGCTCCTTATATGGCCTCTGATGACAAGATGGCAGGGAGTCATTACCACTGGCCCCTCATTTTGTCTTCTCTAACACCACCCTGATGGGTGGAGGAGAAGTTGGGGGTGACTCCTTAGAGCCAGGTGAGAGTAAAAGCCTAGGCTCCCCACTAGGTCTTTATCAATGTGAGTAGAGGTAGGTTTGCAATTTTTTCTGTGGTATTTGGGTACAGTAGGGTGATTACTGTGTAAAAAATTTTCTATCTTGCTTGGCTGCCCCTTTCTTGGTCCTTTAACAAGAGAGAACAGGGTTTTATTGGGGCCTTTCATCGTGTGGCAGGTTTATTCAGCATCCAGGCTGGGATATATGAGGCAGAATTAAAACTCATAAAACTCACCAATCATATTTTTCCTTGAGTCTTGTGATTCCTAACTAGTCTTCTTAAGAAATTATTAAAAAGTTGAGTATTTTCACCGTATACTTCACAGAAAAAAATTTTTTTAAGGATGCAAATTAAATTATTAGCAACAAAAATAAGTTATGAAACATAAGATAAAATTAAAAACATAGCTTATAATCAAGGAACACTGTGTCATATACCTTTGGGGTCTTGCCATCTGTGTTTGAATATATTCGTACCATTTCTTTTCCTTGCGTTTGGCTCCCTTCTGTTTGGTCACTTTGTTTCTGGTCTCTTCCATCTTCTATAGCACTTATTTTCTGGGATGTTTCTACAATAATTGTTCCTAAATTTTGAGAGGTCTGTGCTTCGGGATCACTGCTTTTGGGAAAAAGAGGGGAACATGAAACGCAAGAAGAAGAGTTGTTAAATGTACCCATTTTAAGTTCAAGATCAAATACTGTTCTAGCACATATTGCACTTAAAGCTAGAAGTTTAATTTGAACATTTACTGGTTCTCTAAATTAAGAAAAAATTAGTCTAAACATGTTTTACAGTCTGTTATTTCTGTTAATTCTGTACATGACCTCAAACTTACTAAGATGAATAAATAAGTACAAGTAGGACTTCTTTAATTAACCTGATGGGACATCCACATTGGTGACTGAATTTGAACACCACTTACACAGAGACCTACTACTGCAGTAGAATGAGCAGCCTTAAGCAAGCACTGGCCTGGGACTAGAGTTCTGACTATATGGCCCTTTCAGTTACTTACTGTCTCTGGACCATGTTTCTTCACCTGATAAATGTTATATTGCATCAGTGATCCTGATTTTTTTCACAACCAAATATCCTCTTTATTACAATTCCCTTAGGTATACCATATTTGAAAAGTATATCTAGCAAAGAAAAAGAGTATGCCTATTGAAAAACAATTCAACATCTTATTTACTTGTCATCTAAATGAAAAGAAAGTAAATGCCAAAAAGAAGTGTTTTACAAAATTGTAAAATCTCATCAACAAATTAGAATATCTAATTAGATATTTATTAGATAACTAGATAAATAGATCTAATTAGATATCTAAATTAGAGTACCAAATGCCTGGTAGTGCCACTTCTGTAGTATTTCTACTAAGCGTTAACCTGGGAAGCACATGTTTTAATGCTGCCAGGATTGGAGCACTTACTACTTTCTGGGCCAGGGCAGAAAGCTTTAACGTTTCTCACAGGAAAGTTTTCCCTGAGTCTGAGACAAGTTTTGAATCTCCGAGGCTTTCACCCACTGATCTCAGTTCCATCTCTTATGTCCACTCATCATTCAGTAAAATGTCCATTCATCATTCATTGCTAAGCACCAATTATGTGCCAGGCACTCTTCTAAGCACAAAGGATAAAGTACAAGGAATAAAGGAGACAAATATCTCTGCCCTTATGCAGCTTTCATCCTAAAGGGGTGGGTTCAGATAACAAGAAAAATAAGTAAAATTATGTTAATAGTTTGTATTAATGAGAAGGAAGATTGATTGAAAGTGCTGAGGTTGAGTAGAACATTCAAGTAAGTCTAATTCCTTTTCCACATGGATGATCTCTTAAATATTTGGATATGGTCATTTGATGCTTGAAACATCTCGTAAAAAAACATCCCTAGCTTATTCAAACATTCCTATTATGTGTGCTTTTGAGATGTTTTTTCACCCTGGTCACTCCACCTTATCTTGATGGAGCATTATGTCCAGAATTCAATTTCATATTCCAAGGATACTATGTGAATTACTTAGTACAATTTTTGGTAGATGCAGACTAAAATTATGCAAGCTTTCTGGAATGTACATTGTACTGTAGACTCAAACAAGATTTAATTAAAACTTCCTAAAATATTTTTATGTATACTATTGCAAAGTCCCATATTTTCCCCATTGTATAGTTGAGCAACTGGCTCTTCCAGCTAAGTAATGGACCCTGTAGTCTTCTGTGTAACTCTATCTTCCCAGTCTATTGCTATCTTTGGGGATTTTTATTCTATTTTGTAAAGTACTTTTTACCCCTTTCTCATGTCATGTTATCCACAAGTTTGATAAACATGGTTTGTTGAAATTCTGTTTTTCGAGGTATGAACAACTCTTCCTGAAAATCACCCATCACTGAATTGGGCATTGATAAGTTATTTGTGCATCAGGACCCACAAAATGCAGGCTGTGCCAGTGGCCTGGCCTCTATCAGAAATCTGAACTAAGTGAGCTGCATTTATAGTAAACACCTGTTCTGAATAATAGTAATTTGCAATAGCTGAACTTTTTGTTTCATGGAAGAAAGCTTTATTAATTATAAGGGAAAGGAAATATAAGGAATTAAGCAACTATAGTAAACATAAAGAGGGAGAGAAGCATAGAGAAGAACAAAGAAGGATTAATACATCAAATCATGTACTCACAATATCCAACTTTCTGGCTAGGGAAGCCCTGCAATGAACTGCCAGGTTGGAGCCCCGGTTGAGGGTCCTGGGTGATTGAGGGTCCTGGGCCAGCGTCCTCCCCTCAGGTAAGACTTCCAACTAGCTATTCCAGCCAGGGCGATATATATACTACCCATGTGTGATTTATGATTAGTCATTAAGTTTGCCTAAGTGCAGTCCAGAGCGAGCTGGTTTTTCTCTGTTTCTCTTATCATATCACAATCTTAGGAGGCTGGGTGTCTGCATAGTCCTCTTCCCTCCCTGATCCATTCCAGGGGGCCAGCATGGTCTGGCTCAAGGAGGAGAGGCAAGTTAATCCCTCCTGGCATCAGAAACAGAAGGGCCAGTTCCAATCCTGAGGCCAGATATGGAAAGCCAACAAAGCCCTCCATGATTGTGTATGTGCAGATCTAGGCAGAAATGCATGACAGGTCACACAAAACAACGTCTATACAGAACACCTCACTGTCAAGGAAACCTAATACACACCAATCACAATCCTCCAACACAGCTTTAGCTAACTTACTTTACTCTACAGACCAGGACATACTGGTCATATAAAAATCAATCAATCAATCAATCAATCAATCAATCCGTAACCTCCCAGCCAACCAATCAATCCCTAACCTCCCAGCCAACTATGCCCTGTTTCTGCATTGCTTCTTCTATAAAACTCTTTCTTGCCCAAAACCCTTAGGAAGAGTGCACCATAGATTGCTAGGCAGCGTACTCCCTCATTCCATGGATTGTTTTCACTTGAATGAAGGACTTCACACTCATTTCTAAACTGTATTATTTTTGTCATTTGATAGCATGTTTTTGTAATACTGCTCAACTATGAAAGATAAATAGTCATAAATATATAAATACTAACAAGGTCATAATTATATAATAAAGTATTTTATATTCATACATGAAGGACAAAGTTCTGCTTTTCTCAGTATTCAAGTAAATTCCTTATATTTCAGACTATGAAAAGCTAAAAGAAATAGAATGTTCTAAAGTCCTGAAGGTCCACTGTGGGATTTCTAATTGTTTGAGTATTTTTTGCAGCTGAGTGATTCCTGAGAGTGTTCTGTCAGGCAGGAAATATAACACTTAATTCTCACAATGTAAAATCAAGTTCACTGCTAAGCAACTTAAATGACAATCTTATGTTTTAAGAGATATTGTATGATTCATCTCCCAAAATATGTGACCATCTGCACGTGTACCAATACGATGAAATTAGAACTGACTGTGTTACTTAGCTTTCATGTATCTATTCACACATACATACTCACGCATGAGTAAACTGCACCACTTCTATTATGAAGAGTGTGGTAGTATCAACTGGTGAGACATAATTAGCTGAAACTAGGATTTCCTTGAAGACAGATAAATGATTAGTGGGTTTTAAGCTGAGTAGGATTTTATCTCTAATGGCTTTTGAGAACAAGGAAGAAAATCTTAGGAGTCAAAAAGAAATGGGAATGCAGATTCATCCTTCTTCCTCACCTTCATCAATTTGTTTTCAAGGTTTTTTTTTTTTTTTTTTACCTGTCTGAAGACGAGGGCTTGACCCAATGATCATTTAAAACAGTGGTTCCTGGGGCACCTGGGTGGCTCAGTCGGTTGAAAGTCCAACTTTGGCTCTGGTCATGATCTCATGGTTTGTGAGTTCAAGCCCCTGCATGGGGCTCTCTGCTGTCAGTGCAGAGCCTACTTCAGTTTCTTTGTCTCCCTCTCTTTTTGCTCCTCCCCCACTTGCACTCACGCATGCCCTTTCTCTCTCTCTCAAAAATAAACAAACAGTTGAAAAACAAAAACAAAAGAGTGGTTCCCCAAACTTGTCTACATATTGGAATCAGCTGGAGAGCTTAAAAAATAGTGAAGCTGTGGTAGAATCCCCTCCCTCAGGAATATGGTACGAAAAGACCTCAAGATAAGGGAAGGCAACCTGGCTTTGTGCATATGTGACGTCCCTCAGGTCCCTGTAACATGAGAGCACCCAATCAGCCTGTATGTTTATGCGTTACCCATATATGGGAGACAAAGAAATAGAAAATGCATAAAAGACTACACCACGTGGCATTCAGGGCTTAGGTTTTCAGGTACAAACTCTCTGAGCCCATGTCAGCACAAATAAACTCGCTTCCTGGTAAGAAAAGCCTCGGTGTCACCACTCTTTGTGCAAGAGTCCTTCTACAAAGCTTGCATCCCACCACAGAAGTTATGATTTAATTATTCTGGGGTGTGGCCTATGTAGAGGCTGCTTTCAGGCAAACAACCTGAACAAAAGAAATCTGAGTGAGGATGAAGGGCCCACAGTGACCCCCAAACCCCTGGCTGAATACAAATAGGCCCATTAGGCAACCCACCCAAGATATATGTAAGCCCTAGCTGACCAATGGGCTACTTACACTTGGGCACAGGTACCAAAAAAGGAAAATTCCATTCATTCCCATACCTCCTCACCTTCCCCATTTAACTACAGCCCCCCACCATTGTCTTGTGGGAGACAGTCTCTCCTTTGCTGTCCTGCCTGCAGCTCCCTTGTGGGGTATTCAGTAAACATCTCTCTCTTTTGTTCTGCCTTGAGTGAATTCTTTTACCACCTATACCCCCAGTTTCCACCCAAAGGGGCTGCCCCACATTTGGTGGCCTCCATCCGATTGGAAAACCTCACATCTGAGCTTTGGAATCTTTATAAAATTCAGATAAATCTAATAGATGCAAACAAGTTTGAGAAAGACATTTTAAGATAAATTTCAGTTCTATGTCTCTGATTAAGAAATCTCCTACTTGTAAGGATGCCTTCCTCACTATACCAGCAAGAGATAGAGTACTCTAAATCCCTAGAAACTCTTACCAATGGCTAAGACAAGGACTTAAATCTGCATAACAACTTTACCCTTGAATACTGTGCTTTTCCTGATAACCTC